CTGTGTCTCATTCATTGTTATTATTTGTGTATTTAGACTCTGTTATTTCCTCTGCACATTGTTGCGTTGTCCCACGTTGCTGTGTTGTTTCTCTGTGTTCCTTGAAGCTGTGAATTTCCTCCTGGTTTGTCTAGTTCTAGTTTACCAATTTCCCTGTTTTCTAGTTTTAGTTCCTTGTTTCTAGTTTGCAGTTTTGGTTTCGTGTCTCCAATTTACCATATTTTAGGACCATAAAGAGCACCGGATTATTAAGCACGCTGCCGATGAACGGGTCTGATTTCATACATAAGGCACATCAGATTAAAAGGCACATTAACCCCTTAAAACCGATCAGAGCGGGCACGCTCTGTTTTGCGTAACTATTTTTAAGCTGGCGCAAAATTTTTTTTTGCATATGAGACTGGAGGAGTTGTACTTACATCTTATGCCATCAGCTTGTCCTAGGTCACAGTTTTCTTCCACATATAGCTTTGCAAAAAACTGCATAAAAAGCACTTGCAGGAACAAAAACAAAATATTCCAGAAACACACTTTGCCGATCCGATCAGCTGTTTGTAACACTTCCTACGTCCATCAGCACGAACTATCGCATGTCCGCCATGACCTACCCAAAACGTGACGTGACGTCATTTTCGTGGAAATGTAGTTTTTTACCATCAGGGCCTCATGAGCCTATACAGGTGTTTTTAAAAGTTATGTTTGACTTTATGACTTTCTGTGTCGTTTCTGGGATGCTTAAGACTCATATTGCACTGCTGGAAATAGTTTATTTTAATGCATATGCTGCTTTTTTTTGCAAATTTGCATCATAATATCTATTTTAGTTTTTCCTGCAGTATATAAAAATTGGTGTATTTCAAAAATAAAACTATGAAGACACTCAAAATTAATTTCCTGTGGTGGGAAACTATTTTGTGCAACTTTTTTGTATTTACAGTTTTGAGGGATAAGCCTCTTAAATTTCTCTAACTAGAAATATATGTTAAAAAAGCAAAAACGATTTTCAATTTTTTTGTAGTTTATTGCACTTTTTTGCAATTTATGTAGTTACTATAAACTTAATGCAGGCATATTATTAAAACTTAGGCTGTAATGGTTGTATTGATTTATAGCAACTTGAAATGCTCCCAAAAATGGCTCCACACCATGTAAAAATATACTATAAGCTCTGGCGGACTTGGTTCTATGGTAGGTCTTAAAGGGTTAAGCAAAACAAACAAGTCAGATAAGTCAAAAAAGTTAGCATTCATCCCCAGCTTCACGGTGTTTATGTTATGCTAACATAGCTGTCACTAGTGATCACGGAGCACATCATTATATACCAGGTAGTCCAACTTCAGTAACCCTACAAACATCACTGATGTTTAGTTTTCTGTCTTCATTTGTGTCGAATTTATGTTGAAGTGATAACAGAGCTGTACGTTTGAATTTTTAAGAAATCTCTTAGTCAGAACATGGTATATCATGTTTAGATGGAAACTAGTGAGCTAACTTCCTGCTAGCTTCTAACTAAAGTAAATTTAATAAATTCCGTTTTCATGGATGCCTAGATGTTAAACGTAATTGTTACACCCAGTAAAGCAGCAGCGCTGATCATTTTATTAGAGAGGAAATAATTTAGACAGTTTTCAACTCGTTTGACTTTGGGACCTGGAGAAGACGGAGTTTGGACCCAGATTACTCCGAAAGGCTCCTGCCTACGGTAGCCGTAATGCTCCGACAGTCCATCAAGTGGTGCGGCTTCCAAAGTCGTACTAAAACATTTTCTGACAGGTCTTTGAGCGCCGTGTACCACATAAGTTTGGTTCAAGGTCAGTAAGCACAACCAGAATACATATAAGGTGCACTGGATTATCAGGTGCACTGTCGATTTTTGTGAAAATTCAAGGATTTTAAGTGTGTCTTAGGGTGCAGAAAATAAGGTAGTGTTTGAAGTTTTTACAATGAAATTAAGCTCCTTCTTCATGTTGTTCTTATGAGTATTGAGTCCTGTTTTTGGGTCCTCATTCTGCCTTGCACAGCACATTTACATGACAATCTCACTGTTACAACATCTGCCATAAAATCCTCAAAAACACAGACACATATATGGAAAAAAAACATAGGTTTTGTCAGTTTTTTCATAGATAAGTAATGATTCAAATGTTTAAACTGGCATTTAAAGCGTTCAAACCTTGAAAATTATTTAATGTTTGATCATTTTGAAAAGCGCTCAAGTTGGTTATTTTTGGGGAAAAGGACAGAAAAAAATATTGCTGTATTAGGATTTTATGGCAGATATTGTCAGTGTACATTTTTGTCTACAAAGGTGTTGCAACGGTGCAAAATTTGAGGAGGACATAAGGGCTAAAACAGATAGTTTTGTGTCCTTTTATTTGTCTAACAAAAATGTGATAATATAAACTGTAACTGCCCACCAGAGACTAAAGACTCTCTGGCCTTAAGTACAAATTGCCTGGGTGCCTCCTCTCTGTGGAGAAATAGCTCTACACAGAGGTGGTACATAAGGCTGGAAAGAGGGTAGGACACGTCCACGCAGGCAACACAGCCAGTAAACTCTAAATGCTCTGATATGCCATATCAAACAAGCCTCATTAAACAAGGGACAGATTGTCCTTTATCAATGATTAACAGATAAGGTTCTTCTGTAGTTGCCCCAGTTGCCTCAAGATGCTTTATATGTCTACAATTGTGATGTGAAAAGCTAAATCATAATTGTTTATAGTGGTTATTTGTATGAATAATGTTCAATTTTCTGTGCCTTCTAGGATTTTTTTCCCATATTTTTCACTTCAGTCCACATCTACAATGTTTTGCCTGAAGGATGGACGATGCTGTAAAATGCCACTTGGGGCCATCTGTGTCTTCCTTTTTCATCACTTTATTTTTTTCTTTCACTTAGCACAGTTTTGTGGAGGTAATTAAGTCTTATCGTTATGGAGTTACACAAATTATGCAACACATCTAAGTCTATTAATTACACAAATATTTCTGTTATTGATTAAATGTCAGTCATTTAATTTATGCCACAGGCTAAAACAGCAAATGTAAAACACCTGTGCTTCTGAACCTCGGTTTAAAATAATCTAATCAGAAACTAATAAAACAATGTTTGGTAACTTTCTCAAAAATGACAAGTATTTGTAATTTTCCTTTAGGTGTGTCTCAGGTGGTTGGTCCATCTGAGCCAGTTGTGGCAATAGTTGGTGATGACACTGTGTTACCATGTCATCTGGATCCTGCTGTGAATGCTGCTGATATGACAGTAGAGTGGACACGATCTGACCTCACACCTAAATTTGTGCATGTTTGGCGAGACGGCGTGGAGCTCGTGAATAAAAAAAATGAAGCCTACATGGAAAGAACATCACTACCCATTAACAACCTGAAGCTCGGAGACATTTCACTAAAACTCTCCAAAGTGAAACTGTCAGATAGGGGATCATACAAATGCTTCAGTCCTGCGCTTAGTGGACAAGCTAGTGTTGAGCTTGTTGTTGGTAAGTGGAGATATAGTCTTTGCACAGAAAGCTCAAAATGAGATCTAATGTTGAAAATCATCAGTCAATATTTAGTTTAGAAAAAAAAAACATTGTTAGTAGTAAAAAATCATAAGGGTAAAAAAAAACAGAATAGTAGAATAGTGTTTTTCATGTCACTGTTAAATGGTTTAAATACAGTCGCTGTACAAGTATTCAGTGCATTTGCAATAAATTTAATGGCCCTTTAGTGTTGCTACTAGTGACCAATGTGTTTTCCCTTTTCAAAATTAGGTGTAGTTTCATCACTTACCATCACTGTAATGAGGAACAGTGAGGACAGCGGTAAAGTGGTGTTACAGTGTGAGTCTGCAGGCTGGTATCCAGAGCCTGAGCTGCTGTGGTTGGACGGTGAGGGAAACCTCCTCTCTGCTGGACCTGCAGAGACCCTCAGAGGTCCTGATGACCTCTATACTGTCAGCAGCAGAATGACTGTGGAGAAGAGACACAGCAACAACATCACCTGCAGAGTCCAACAGAGGAACACCAACCGGAGCAGAGAGACACACATACATGTTCCAGGTAAAAAATCAAACACACAAAGTATTTAGTTATAGTTTTATGTATTTTTTGTGTAAAATTGCTGCAGCCTACATGTTGATATCCTGTGTGTTCTCATTCCAGGTGATTTATTTAACCCCTCATGTAGTTCTGCGGCTCACATCACCATTGCTGTTGTTGTGACAGTCTTGCTAATTCTTGCAGTTGTCTTAGTTGTGTGGAAATATCGTTCTAAACACCGAGGTACAGTATCTTGTTGTAAAAAGTGACAAAAAAAATATTTTCTTAAAAAAATTATAGGATAATAGATTTCTGTGAATTTAAATGACTTTATTTTGTACAACAGAAAGAAACTTCACAAGAACGTCCTCTGATCACACATCACTTCAGCTCGACACTGAGGAGAAAGGAGAAACAAAGCATCTCACCGAAGACTGTATTGACACTGGTGACATAAATACAAAACAAGAAAATCTTGAGGCTCAAAAAGAAAAACAAGCAGTAGACAAATTTCATTTGTTAACAGTGGTTAACTTATTAATGAATCATAAATTTAATTTAGAAAAAGATATTGATGAACTTACTTCCGAAGTGCGGGAGCTAGAGAAACAGCAAGATAAAAATCAACTGGTGACAAATATGCAACAGACAGAACAAAATAATATACAGTCTGCAAAAATAAATCAAGATGAGGAAACAAAAATTATTTTTTGTTCAATGAAGCAAGCTCTTGATAGAAAAATACACGAAAACGAATCAGTAGTGTATGCGGTTCAGGTAATGTCAGAGAAGAAGGAAGAATTAGACAAGACTTTAGAAACAATTCTTGAACAGTTGGAGAAAATAAAGAACAGAAATGAAGTTCAAATGTAACTCCAATCAGACAGACCAGAGGCATAAAAGTAAAGCCTAAAACAGTCACATTATTCATTTAATGAAGAGTCTCTAACATTGACATAACCACTACAGGAAAGAGTTCATAAATAAAACAACATCAACAGCAGCAGCTGAAGTAAAGAGAAGATGACTTTTATTTCTTCCACAGAAGAGACCCTGTCATCACCAGATTAACACAGTAGAAGGCATTGGTTGAGTTGCCCCACTCACACAATGTTTAAAATAACTCAGTGACCTCTAGTGGCCATAAGATTTATGACAACAGTATATGAGTAGATACCGATGCAAGATAGAGTTGTCTGTGTCAAGGAAATGGCATTTTTGTGTGGCTTTTTTCTTTTCTTACTGGTAATGACAACCCAATACTGTTGGTGATGACCTTAATATAAACTGAATATTAGTGCATTTTGATGCCATGTACCAGTTCATACATTCACATTCTGCATCACAGTTTCCAAATCTATTTGTTATCTGATTGCTTTCTGTCTTTAATTTTGTCTTTCTATAGCTAAAGTTTTGCTTTGGATATACTGCAAGTGTGTAGTTCTATTTTGTTTAAGAAAAAAAAATTCACAAAGGTTGTGTCAAGATGTCAAATAAGACATTAAAACGTGTAAAATAAGTTAGTACCGTGACAGCAGAATTCACATTATCAGCAGAATGTACTACTTAATATACCATCACTATTAAATGCACCAGATATTTAAAGATAGTTACGATCTGTCACATGATGTCATGTTTTTAAGCCTGGTGTGTGTGTGTGTGTGTGGTTACAAGTGAAACTATCATTACCAGTCAGTGTATTAATAGCTCTTCATATCAGCAGCATCATCTAGTTGACAGTAAAAGATGAACTGTTATGCTGAATGGACATCTCTTAATAAACAAACTCTGATGAACAGAGTAATAACCACATGAGAAAATTTCCAGTTCAGCTTATTTACAGTTAATAGCTACTTCAATACATGGTGGCTATATAAAATACTGTAAACGTACACAGTGATGTCTTTAAAAAGTTACCGTCTTCAACAGTTTCGTAATACATTTACTGCAAGCTGAAAGTTGTACAAAGTAGGCACAAGTACCCAGCTGATACTTTACAAGTAATCTTGGAGGATGTTTTTACTGTACAGTTCTTAAACATTGCAAGGTGACAGATGTGGTAGAAAGAAAAAACACATCAAGTCTCTCCATTAACCTGATGTTTCAGTGCTTAGATCTTCATTGGACGAGACAGATGAGGTGACTTGGATATCTAATGATCTTAATTTCATTTTTCCCCTAAAATGCAACAGTTGTCAAAAAAAAGTTATTTCACAGATAAAACAGTACTTCTCCGTCCATTCCCTTTGAGATTTGCCACAGTGGATTACTGATCTCCATCTCATCCTGTGCCTAGCTTCCTCTTCCATCACACCAGCACAGAAATGACATAGAAACAAAGAAAAATGTTTTTTTATGAATGTGTTTCTTAAAAGAGGGGAATGAAACATGGTGTATAGAGTCCATTTACTTTTCACCATCTTTAAATCATAAAACATGTCTCACTACTACCTTGGAGTACTAAATGTTGCCCTTTAACATTGATTATCCACCTGTACTGCTAAAAAAAATATTTGTGTCCTTTACGTTCTTTTGTGACTAAACAAAGGAGGTTTGTGATGTTGATGTTATCACATTCATTTTGCATGCAAAAGTTTCCTGATTTGAAATCAGGAGGGGAAAAAATACAACTTGGAGTACTTCTAGTGCTGGTCACAATGCTGAAGAAATAGCTCTGTTGTGTGAGGAAAGAATTCTGAGATTAAATACCTTACTATGTCAATTCACTACAGCAACAATAAATAATTATATTAACCACAAATGAGTTGTTAGGCCAGTGTTTTTAATAAGAGTCCACACCAAACATATTACAAAAAATTAGAAATAAATCAATATATATATATATATTATATATATATATGAAAACAACTCACAAAACTAGCTAACAACATAATAATCTTAGATACATTTCTTTTATAACAAAACGCAGACTTTTTTGCATTAAATTTATTCTCCCACCTTCAACACCTTGTGTTGACAGTATCACCATCTGTACCATAAACGGATATTCTGTTGATAGCTGACACAACACTAACATTTGACACACTGTGTTGCCACAGAAGCCACAGTGAGTATATTGAAAAATTGCAACAGTGTATTCATATCTATAATGAGGCATGAGGCAAAGCAAATAGACCTGGGCTTCACTATTTGTTAAAAAAAAACTGCTACCCTTTAAAATAGACATGATGATGTGAAGTGGCAGACGTTTTACTCTCAGATGAAGAATGGAGATAATTAAGAAAGCAAACCATGAGGGTGAGATGTTTGCAAGTTTCTATAAACAGCCATCTTTTCACCAATTAGACATTTATTGTTTATACAAGAGGAATGAAATGTGCTAATAACAACAAAAATGTTTCATTGTATTTTATATAAATGCCAATTTTTCCAAAGGAATTAAAAGGCACACTGAAGACTAGCATTCCCTTTACTTTTAATTTTGTATTGCACAGTAAAAGTTATCCGGATCCATGCTAGTAATTCGTTGACTGGCACCTCTCTGCAACCAGCTCGCTGCTGCCAGCTCTGTTTGGAGACACAATCAATTTCAAAACAGTTGTTTGGTTATTTTTAAATAACAACAGAGCTATATTGGAAATATTGGAAACTATATTTGAACCAACTAATAATTTCAAATTTTTTGCCAACTATGACAAATTAAGGCTTCAAATTTAAAACAGTGTTATCTAACTGTTTTAAATCTGATAAACCGAGGGGACTCATCAACATATTTTTCTGTCAGTTTCTTGTGTGGGTTTTTTTTTTTCCTGAGATCCACAAAACAAAGCTCAAAATATCAACAACATGAAACACACACGGTGTGTTTAAAAGAAATATAAATCAAAAAGAAAAAATATATAACATCACTGTCAGAAATCCCCCAAAAGCAGCAAAACTAAGATGCATTTTAGTTGTTCTCAAAACATATTGGTGAGCATAAAGGATGTTAAATCTTTTCAGTCTCAGTTACCTTTCACATTTCTGGGTTTTCTGACCATAGAATACGTCTCCTGGACTGATTCAAGTGCATGGTCCTCTGCAGGCATATAACAGCAAAACATCATAAGAATGATTTTCTTTTCATTACATTTAAATGTAAATTGTCCTCACTTATTTCCGGCTGTGAAAATGTGATGTGTGGACTTCTGGAAGATGTTACTTTTTATATGATAGCATATTTCTCTTCCACTAGGCCTTTTAAGCAATAACGGGTATTATAACTTCAATGTTTTCCAGTTTAGGCAAATTACCTTTTGGCCTTCTTGGTTTTGTGATGAGGGAATATGTCTCATTGTTTTGTTCAGCTCTGCTTACCACTGCAGGCACTGAAATATAGAGATAAGCCAAACCTTAAACAAAGTATAAAGATATGGGCAGACAATTTAGTTACATTTTTTAAAATCTCTCATTCTAGACACTTTCTCTATATGATAACCATCTCAAAGTAAAGATAGTAAAATGAAAGAGAAATGACAAAACAAGAGTGATGGTTAAAATGTTGTGTTGTTGTTTTTGGTCAACAAGTCACTACTAAATTAAATTATATTACTTACATCTTAGGACCCTGATAGTTCGTATTTATATTAGTTATTACAATGTCATTGTCTTTCCTAGCAACCACATACCAGTAGAGTGGCACATATTTATAGGATATATGCTTCTACCACATGAAAACACAACACAATTTGTTTCATAACAGTAACATGCAATTTATATACAAAAAATGATAACAGCATGTTGCCTAATAAAAATAATTGACCAATCTTGCTTGTGCAGTAAGGCTATACTGGGAAATGGTAAACCCTTTTTTTGCAGAGGGGAAGGTAGATCTAGCTCTCGTGCTCCCCGTGTCTCATGAAAATGTGACAAAATGTTAAGAGTGGATATAGAGACACATTTATGTCAAGGAAAATAAGTTGTCTGGAGAAACACACCAGTAAAAATACTTCAAACGTTTATACTTTCTATTTCAGTCAACTGAATACATTTTTAGTCTCCTAAAGTCTTATGATATTTAGTCGACTAAAACTATGAATTTAGTTGACTAAATTATTCAACAATTTTAATCAAAAGTCTGTTATAATATTAATCATATTCAGTCAACTAAGACAAGATTAAAATTCAAAAGATTTAGATGCCTAAATTTTGTTTTATCCACAAAAAAAATAAAATTAAACTAAATTAAAAGCTAAATGAAACATTTGATATCGAAATTAACACTAAAAAAACCTGCAATGGACTAAAATCACAGACCAAACAATACAATAGCAGGTGCATGTCCTAGGGTATACGGTTTACTTAAGGACTGTGTTTCTAATTTCCATGATCCTGCAGATTTGAAGTTCATGTTTTTTATTCCTAAACAAATGTTGGCCTTCCTGACCTGTTTGTGCAGAAGAGGGAGACCGGAAGGAGGCAGTAGAATTTTGAGCACCTTCTTATAAAAAAGACAAAATAAACAAGAAAAAAAGTTAATTAATGATGGCCACCAGGAATCACTAAGCATGCTTATTGTTATAAAATAAAAATACATGTTTTGATTAGCATACTGTCAACATACCTGGTGTCAAAGAAATTTCTTCTGTGTGATTTCTGATGGTTTGTTGATGTTTATTACATTGAAACACTCCTACCAATATTAGCAGAATGACCACCAATAAAACACCCAAACCAATGCAGAGCCCCAGGTAGATCTCTAAGTAAGGCACTGTAGGATGACCTGCCGGAAAGACAATTGCAATGTGCATTAGAAAGGATTAAAATTATAGATATATATATATATGAAGAGTTTACATGGACAAGAAGCATGAACATAACCTGAACAGAATCGTGAAAGCCTTAATCTTGACGTGTTTTGGAGGAAAGAAAAACAGATGACCTGACAAAGACTGAATGACAACGCACAGACTAAATGAACACGGGAGGTAATCAAGGGAAGTGGAAACACATAGTGAAACAGTTGACACAAATCAACAACATCGTAGGAGAATAATAAAACTAAACACTGAACAAAGAAACAAAATAAAACAGGAAACATGTAGAGACGTAGACATGATAACATGATAACACAAACTTGAAAACATGAACACGCAGACAAGAAACCTATGACAGACTAACACAAAAGACAGGAAAAGACACAAACACAGAGACATGGGTGAAAACACAACTAGACTAAATGTCAACTAAACCCTTACTAAGAATAACACCACAAGAACTTCAGATATTTCAATATAACCTAAAAGTTTGTTGTTAAAAAAAAAAGAGATGTCAACAACAACCACATTTTGACTACACATACCTGTGTACAGCAATCCTATGGACATCAACACCAGACTATCATTAGATATCGAAATAAAGATGTTGCCTTATGTTACAAAACAACCAACTTCAGAACTGAACCTCCAAA